GTAGGTTGATAATAGTTAACGGATTGTTGGAGATCCTAGTAAGTTGATAACAGATTGTTGGAGATCCTAGTAAGTTGATAACGGATTGTTGGAGATCCTAGTAAGTTGATAATAGTTAACGGATTGTTGGAGATCCTAGTAAGTTGATAACGGATTGTTGGAGATCCTGGTAAGTTGATAACGGATTGTTGGAGATCCTGGTATGTTGATAATAGTTAACGGATTGTTGGAGATCCTAGTAAGTCGATAACGGATTGTTGGAGATCCTGGTAAGTTGATAACGGATTGTTGGAGATCCTGGTATGTTGATAATAGTTAACGGATTGTTGGAGATCCTGGTATGTTGATAATAGTTAACGGATTGTTGGAGATCCTGGTATGTTGATAATAGTTAACGGATTGTTGGAGATCCTAGTAAGTTGATAATAGTTACGGATTGTTGGAGATCCTGGTATGTTGATAATAGTTAACGGATTGTTGGAGATCCTAGTAAGTTGATAATAGTTAATGGATTGTTGGAGATCCTAGTAAGTTGATAATAGTTAACGGATTGTTGGAGATCCTAGTAAGTTGATAATAGTTAACGCATTGTTGGAGATCCTAGTAAGTTGATAATAGTTAACGGATTGTTGGAGATCCTAGTAAGTTGATAATAGTTAATGGATTGTTGGAGATCCTAGTAAGTTAATAATAGTTAACGCATTGTTGGAGATCCTAGTAAGTTGATAATAGTTAACGGATTGTTGGAGATCCTAGTAAGTTGATTATTGTTAACCGATTGTTGGAGATCCTAGTAAGTTGATTATTGTTAACCGATTGTTGGAGATCCTAGTAAGTTGATAACGGATTGTTGGAGATCCTGGTAAGTTGATAATAGTTAACGGATTGTTGGAGATCCTGGTATGTTGATAATAGTTAACGGATTGTTGGAGATCCTGGTATGTTGATAATAGTTACGGATTGTTGGAGATCCTGGTATGTTGATAATAGTTACGGATTGTTGGAGATCCTGGTATGTTGATAACGGATTGTTGGAGATCCTAGTAAGTTGATAACGGATTGTTGGAGATCCTGGTATGTTGATAATAGTTACGGATTGTTGGAGATCCTGGTATGTTGATAACGGATTGTTGGAGATCCTGGTAAGTTGATAACGGATTGTTGGAGATCCTGGTATGTTGATAATAGTTACGGATTGTTGGAGATCCTGGTATGTTGATAATAGTTACGGATTGTTGGAGATCCTGGTATGTTGATAATAGTGACGGATTGTTGGAGATCCTGGTATGTTGATAACGGACTGTTGGAGATCCTAGTAAGTTGATAACGGATTGTTGGAGATCCTGGTATGTTGATAATAGTTAACGGATTGTTGGAGATCCTAGTAAGTTGATAACGGATTGTTGGAGATCCTGGTATGTTGATAATAGTTAACGGATTGTTGGAGATCCTGGTAAGTTGATAACGGATTGTTGGAGATCCTGGTATGTTGATAACGGATTGTTGGAGATCCTGGTAAGTTGATAACGGATTGTTGGAGATCCTAGTAAGTTGATAACGGATTGTTGGAGATCCTGGTATGTTGATAATAGTTAACGAATTGTTGGAGATCCTGGTATGTTGATAATAGTTAACGGATTGTTGGAGATCCTGGTATGTTGATAATAGTTACGGATTGTTGGAGATCCTGGTATGTTGATAATAGTTAACGGATTGTTGGAGATCCTGGTATGTTGATAATAGTTAACGGATTGTTGGAGATCCTTGTAAGTTGATAATAGTTACGGATTGTTGGAGATCCTGGTATGTTGATAATAGTTAACGGATTGTTGGAGATCCTAGTAAGTTGATAATAGTGAACGGATTGTTGGAGATCCTAGTAAGTTGATAATAGTTAACGCATTGTTGGGGATCCTAGTAAGTTGATAATAGTTAACGGATTGTTGGAGATCCTAGTAAGTTGATAATAGTTAACGGATTGTTGGAGATCCTAGTAAGTTGATAATAGTTAACGCATTGTTGGAGATCCTAGTAAGTTGATTATTGTTAACCGATTGTTGGAGATCCTAGTAAGTTGATAATAGTTATGGATTGTTGGAGATCCTAGTAGGTTGATAATAGTTAAGGATTGTTGGAGATCCTAGTAAGTTGATAATAGTTAACGGATAGTTGGAGATCCTAGTAAGTTGATAATAGTTAACAGATTGTTGGAGATCCAAAGTTGATAATAGTTAATGGATAGTTGGAGATCCTACTAAGTTGATAATAGTTAACGGATAGTTGGAGATCCTAGTAAGTTGATAATAGTTAACGGATAGTTGGAGATCCTAGTAAGTTGATAATAGTTAACCGATTGTTGGAGATCCTAGTCAGTTGATAATAGTTACGGATTGTTGGAGATCCTGGTATGTTGATAATAGTTACGGATTGTTGGAGATCCTGGTATGTTGATAACGGATTGTTGGAGATCCTAGTAAGTTGATAACGGATTGTTGGAGATCCTGGTATGTTGATAATAGTTACGGATTGTTGGAGATCCTGGTATGTTGATAATAGTTACGGATTGTTGGAGATCCTGGTATGTTGATAATAGTGACGGATTGTTGGAGATCCTGGTATGTTGATAACGGACTGTTGGAGATCCTAGTAAGTTGATAACGGATTGTTGGAGATCCTGGTATGTTGATAATAGTTAACGGATTGTTGGAGATCCTAGTAAGTTGATAACGGATTGTTGGAGATCCTGGTATGTTGATAATAGTTAACGGATTGTTGGAGATCCTGGTAAGTTGATAACGGATTGTTGGAGATCCTGGTATGTTGATAACGGATTGTTGGAGATCCTGGTAAGTTGATAACGGATTGTTGGAGATCCTAGTAAGTTGATAACGGATTGTTGGAGATCCTGGTATGTTGATAATAGTTAACGAATTGTTGGAGATCCTGGTATGTTGATAATAGTTAACGGATTGTTGGAGATCCTGGTATGTTGATAATAGTTACGGATTGTTGGAGATCCTGGTATGTTGATAATAGTTAACGGATTGTTGGAGATCCTGGTATGTTGATAATAGTTAACGGATTGTTGGAGATCCTTGTAAGTTGATAATAGTTACGGATTGTTGGAGATCCTGGTATGTTGATAATAGTTAACGGATTGTTGGAGATCCTAGTAAGTTGATAATAGTGAACGGATTGTTGGAGATCCTAGTAAGTTGATAATAGTTAACGCATTGTTGGGGATCCTAGTAAGTTGATAATAGTTAACGGATTGTTGGAGATCCTAGTAAGTTGATAATAGTTAACGGATTGTTGGAGATCCTAGTAAGTTGATAATAGTTAACGCATTGTTGGAGATCCTAGTAAGTTGATTATTGTTAACCGATTGTTGGAGATCCTAGTAAGTTGATAATAGTTATGGATTGTTGGAGATCCTAGTAGGTTGATAATAGTTAAGGATTGTTGGAGATCCTAGTAAGTTGATAATAGTTAACGGATAGTTGGAGATCCTAGTAAGTTGATAATAGTTACGGATTGTTGGAGATCCTAGTAAGTTGATAATAGTTAACGGATTGTTGGAGATCCTAGTAGGTTGATAATAGTTAACGGATAGTTGGAGATCCTAGTAAGTTGATAATAGTTAACGGATAGTTGGAGATCCTAGTAAGTTGATAATAGTTAACCGATTGTTGGAGATCCTAGTCAGTTGATAATAGTTACGGATTGTTGGAGATCCTGGTATGTTGATAATAGTTAACGGATTGTTTGAGATCCTAGTAGGTTGATAATAGTTAACGGATAGTTGGAGATCCTAGTAAGTTGATAATAGTTAACAGATTGTTGGAGATCCAAAGTTGATAATAGTTAATGGATAGTTGGAGATCCTACTAAGTTGATAATATTTAACGGATTGTTGGAGATCCTAAGTTGATAATAGTGAACGGATTGTTGGAGATCCTAGTAAGTTGATAATAGTTGATTAGGGTTAACAGATCGTTGAAGATTCTACTTTTAATAAGTATAACAGATGTTGGAGATCCAACGTTGAATAAGGTTACCTAATTTTTGGAGATCCTACGTTGATGAGGGTAACTGCTGTTGAAGAACATACTTTGAATTTGGTGAACTGATGTTGGAGATCCTACGTTGATTAGGGTTAACCGATGTTGGAGATCCAGCGTTGATAAATGTTAAATGAGCTTGAAGATCCTACTTTGAATAAGGTTAACGGATGTTGAAGATCTTGTTCCGATTAGGGTTAATGGATTGTTGAAGATCCTATGTTGATAAGGGTCAATATATTGTTGGAGATGCTTTGTTGATTAGGGTTAACGGATTATTGAAGATCCTACTTTATTAGGGGCAAGGGATTGTCGGGTGTTTAATGGAGTTCATAATGTTGAACAGTGAACAAAATTGTTAAATTTATATCAGAATAAGTTAATTGGCAATCTGATGTTGAACAGCAGTAATGGTTTGTTCGGAGATCCATGTTTCATTAGAAGTCAATCCAGCACTGATTGGAAAGAGGACTGACATTTAACAGCGGTATGGATTAGTTTGAGTGCAATGTTGAGTGCGCATACCACAGATTTAGGTCACTATCAACAGTTGTCATATATTGACATGTGATTTTTAGAGTGAGTGAGTGAGTGAGTTTGGTTTTACGCCACTTTTAGCAATATTCCAGCAATATCACGGCGGGGGACACCAGAAATGGGCTTCACACATTGTACCCATGTCGGGAATCGAACCTGGGTCTTCGGCGTGACGAGCGAACGCTTTAACCACTAGGCTACCCGACCGCCCCTGATTTTTAGACCAAGGGACAAGGCTGTGTTGGAGATCCAATGTTGGTAAGAGCCAGGGAACCCTGAGATTTATTCAAGTCAGTACTATCCTCACCATTAGATGCAGGGATTGTTGGAGGCCTTGACATCAAGAGAATGCAGTTGAAAGACCATGCCTGGTCGTCATCATCAAGTTAAACAAACAGCATATGAATTTATACCTCTTTATTTGTGAAAATAGCACCGATCATCATCTTTGATGATGTCGATGAATGCAGTGATAAAGTGATGATAATGTAATGACAAAAGCCAGTGTTCCTGTGCAATAACGAGCTAGGAGATCCCCCAAGTTACCAGTCTCAATGGGCCTTGTTGGCACAGTACTTCCTGGCCAAAGTAACTTGGAACCATGCATCTCAACGACCTGCTCAGTCAACATGTGGCATCAGAGACCAAAAACCCATAGGGCATCGTAAAGAGGTATATCATGTTTTATTGGACTTGAAAGTAGTTGGCATGATGATGGAGACAGCTGATGCCACATGCTGAGAGGACAGTTCCCAGTTCACAAATACATGCAGTGTAAGGTGGTCCAACAGTCAGTTGAGAACAGCCTTTGGGTGCTGGAACAACTTGTTCTTTTCAGTCACTGGAATTTATACTTGTTCATAAAGGCTTTCCCATATCTTTCTCTATGCCAAAATCTAACAAGCATAAATAATTTTTTCTTGATTACTAATACAAAATTAATCCTCTAACAAAAGTCTTGGTACCAATTGTATACATTTATTTAGTTAGTGTTAATCTTATTGTAACATGTGCATAATAGTGCCATAAAACAGTATACATACATATATTTTTTTCAAGAACAAAACACATTATATCAAACATGGAAGCATATCCAGAAGTCGAAACCATTTCATTTGCCATACAACACTACAAGCACCAGTACATATCATAGAGGTGGTAAGATTTCCAACATTCTCCTATATCTGTAGAAATGTAGCTAAAATCAATCACCATATCTAACCTTTCTGTGGGGCTTCCTGGAATAATGTTTCCTATTCAAAGAGTAACATGTTTGTGTGCACAGCCTCCAGAACATGCTTTTAGAAAAGATTTATTGATGTGGCACTAGAGTGTATATTGTTTCCATGGTGACCAACAAGGGTCACAGGAACTCGATGATAGTGTGTATAACACAATATATTCGTATAAAAAGAAATCACACCCCTCTATATACATAGAGTCTCTATGTATATAGAGGGGTGTGATTTTTTTTCTATACGAATATATTGTGTTATACACGCTATCATTGAGTTCCTGTGACAAGGGTGGGGTTCAAGATGCACTACAAGATTTTACATCTTCCCTCAATCAGAGCAAACTGGCTCTCCAACTCAACTCCACACAAATCCTAGCAATCACCACTGCTTCAACAATCCAGTGTAGCATTGATACCACTGGTGTTACTGTCTCTAGAAACTTCCTTGGCCGTGAAAATGCAGTGGACAAAGACTCACTACCATGTGACTAGAGAAAGCCTCACCAGAATAGTTTGATAACATTCCACATGATATGACTAAAGCATTCAGGAGATCACTACAAAATCATCAACAATGTCAGAAATGTTGCCATTTTAGTATTATAATCAAAGCCAAAATATATTCCACTGTTTGTATTTACTGTTTGAAATTGTTACCAAATGTTTGTTAACAAAATAATTAATTTGAAATTAATTTAATCATGCTGAGAATAATAGAGCATTTATAAACAACAAAGCATTTTGTCTTTTCTAAATCACATTCTACAGCCTAGTAAAGCGATAACACAATGAAAAGTCACAAGGCATTGCGTATAATATAGAAATCTTGCAGAAACATAAAAAACTAGTCGATTCAAACAAACAGTAAAACACCCACAGGAATAACTTTGCCCACTTTCTCAACTACTACCACAACTGTACAATGTGTAGATACATAAATATAGATATAAATGTAGACATATTCAGATTGGGTGTAAATAAACATTTTTACAAGATGCAATATACAGAATTTGCTGGTGATGAACTCTCCTTTGTTACCTGCATTAACATCCACTCACATGAAACATATCATGGCTTGTCCGTGGACATAAAAGATATTCATATGCTCAGGGCAATGAAAGACATGGTCATGACATTGTGACCATTTATTATTGTCTGTGTATTTTGTGAATTAATGTTTAAGTACAGCTTGTCATTTCCTGGTAATACCGGTGAGTGTGTGACCATTTGCTGATGATGAGACTGCCTAAGCTACCTTCAGGTACTAAGTATTCCATGACCTGACATCAAACCTCAGCCGCCAACAGGTGATACATATTCCATGGCCTAATATAAGACCTTAGCCACCAACATGTGGTTTGTACTCCATGGCCTGACAATCAGACCTTGACCACCAAAGGGTGCTACATACTCCATGGCCTGACAATCACACATTGGCCACCAACAGGTGCTTTGTACTCCATGGCCTGACAATCATACCTCGGCCACCAACAGTTGCTTTGTACTCCATGGCCTGACAATCAGACCTTGGCCACCAACAGGTGCTTTGTACTCCATGGCCTGACAATCACATATTGGCCACCAACAGGTGCTTTGTACTCCATGGCCTGACAATCACACATTAGCCACCAACAGGTGCTGCATACTCCATGGCCCGACAATCATACCTTGGCCACCAACAGTTGCTTTGTACTCCATGGCCTGACAATCAGACCTTGGCCACCAACAGGTGCTGCATACTCCATGGCCTTATATCAGACCTTGGCCACAAACAGGTGCTGCATACTCCATGGCCTTATATCAGACCTTGGCCACCAATAGGTGCTGCATACTCCATGGCCTGACATTAGACCTTGGCCACCAACAGGTGCTGTATACTCCAAGGCCTTATATCAGACCTTGGCACCAACAGGTGCTACATACTCCATGGCCTTATATCAGACCTTGGCCACCAACAGGTGCTGTATACTCCATGGCCTTATATTAGACCTTGGCCACCAACAGGTGCTGCATACTCCATGGCCTGACATCAGACCTTGGCCACCAACAGGTGCTGCATACTCCATGGCCTGACATCAGACCTTAGCCACCAACGGGTGCTACATACTCCATGGCCTTATATCAGACCTTGGCCACCAACGGGTGCTGCATACTCCATGGCCTGACATCAGACCTTGGCCACCAATGGGTGCTACATACTCCATGGCCTTATATCAGACCTTGGCCACCAACGGGTGCTGCATACTCCATGGCCTGACATCAAACCTTGGCCACCAACAGGTGCTGCATACTCCATGGCCTGACATCAGACCTTGGCCACCAACAGGTGCTGCATACTCCATGGCCTGACATCAGACCTTGGCCACCAACAGGTGCTGCATACTCCATGGCCTGACATCAGACCTTGGCCACCAACAGGAGCTGCATACTCCATGGCCCGACAATCATACCTTGGCCACCAACAGTTGCTTTGTACTCCATGGCCTGACAATCAGACCTTGGCCACCAACAGGTGCTGCATACTCCATGGCCTTATATCAGACCTTGGCCACAAACAGGTGCTGCATACTCCATGGCCTGACATTAGACCTTGGCCACCAACAGGTGCTGTATACTCCAAGGCCTTATATCAGACCTTGGCACCAACAGGTGCTACATACTCCATGGCCTTATATCAGACCTTGGCCACCAACAGGTGCTGTATACTCCATGGCCTTATATTAGACCTTGGCCACCAACAGGTGCTGCATACTCCATGGCCTGACATCAGACCTTGGCCACCAACAGGTGCTGCATACTCCATGGCCTGACATCAGACCTTGGCCACCAACGGGTGCTACATACTCCATGGCCTTATATCAGACCTTGGCCACCAACGGGTGCTGCATACTCCATGGCCTGACATCAGACCTTGGCCACCAATGGGTGCTACATACTCCATGGCCTTATATCAGACCTTGGCCACCAACGGGTGCTGCATACTCCATGGCCTGACATCAAACCTTGGCCACCAACAGGTGCTGCATACTCCATGGCCTGACATCAGACCTTGGCCACCAACAGGTGCTGCATACTCCATGGCCTGACATCAGACCTTGGCCACCAACAGGTGCTGCATACTCCATGGCCTGACATCAGACCTTGGCCACCAACAGGAGCTGCATACGCCATGGCCTGACATCAGACCTTGGCCACCAACAGGTGCTGCATACTCCATGGCCTGACATCAGACCTTGGCCACCAACAGGTGCTGCATACTCCATGGCCTGACATCAGACCTTGGCCACCAACAGGTGCTGCATACTCCATGGCCTGACATCAGACCTTGGCCACCAACAGGTGCTGCATACTCCATGGCCTGACATCAGACCTGGGGACTGCTGATATGGAAAACCATACAAAGTAGAAGCCCTCTCTGGAAGCTCACCTGTTGATTATCAGAACATCCAATGATAACACCCACAAGTAGAGAAGCCTACAAGGTAACAGGCACAACAATCAGTAATTGAAATATCTTTACTCTGTTAAAAAAGAGCCCAATAAATTGACACATATATACATTATAACATTTCTTTTCATAATTGAAGTAATTAAAAGTAAAACAACAAAAACACATCAGTTTTACAATATACTGTTTTCTTTTTATAGAACATATTTCATGAATAGTACCAGAACATATCCCAATTCAATGTTTAACATAGTGGCCCTAAACAAGCAAATGTAATTTACCAATGGAATGTCTTTACAAAGCATTAACAAAACAGTAGTGAGCTAAAGATATATGTATAGCAACAGCAAATATAACAATAACCGTTCATCGCATAAAGTTTCAATACAACATAAATATCCGTCATCAGGTTCTGCTTCTAAAACTTCATCACTGAAGATCCTAACAAGAGTAACAGTTCAACAGGTTTAATGTAAAGAAGGACTCAAGAAAATCTAACAAAGAGACATTTCCAGTGAGTATTTTTCTTTAAGTTTATCATCAAAACTGTGGTTTATGAAACATGTTTTTTACCAAACAAAGGTTTCTCTGAACTAGGTGTCATGATCTCAAAATATTTTGGTATAAAAAATGAGATTCATACATTGTTCTCTCTTTCTGAAATAAGGTCCCCAAAATAATGGAGTAAGATAGGTTTATTGTGGCACATGAAGTGTGATCTGTGTTGATTACCATAATCAGGCAGTATTCAAAGAAAATTAAGGAATGAGGTATGGTTCTTTTTGTGGCTTCCAGTTTCATTTACTTTCTAGTCATTGGGTTGTTTCAAAATAATGACTATCACCCTGACTTCACTCAAGCTAACCACTTTTTTCAAGCATGTCCTCTGATCACTTAGTGAAGGTGCGTTTCTGTATAGAATGTAACCCCAATAGAGTCAAAACCTGAACATCATAGTAAATAACAGTTGTTAGAAACAGATACATACTGATGGGTACTAAATCCTAAGTGAAATGTTTTAATATAGATACAAATCATGGAAGAGGAATATCTACAATGTGATACTACACACAAATCTAGCTACTGTTTCCTGGAAACTCCAGCCACCATCTCTACATAATATAATCCTCATCAAATACATCATCACATCGCAACGTTGTCCACAGGTACTGTTGACACAGTGGTACACTACAGTGCATAAGTAATAGCTAACAGTCTAATGTACATGTTGACATATACAACACATGAAATGAAACACATAAAACAAAGTAAATGAGTGCAACATGCACTTAAGAATGTAAAACTCAATAAGAGACTGGAACACTTGCTAGGCTGGAACACAGGGTTGACTTATAGAGAAAATAATATGGAAGTAGGAGGACCTTGAACCAAGCCCAGGACTAAACTAAGCACAGGACAGACCTGAACCAAGTCCAGGACTAAACTAAGCACAGCACAGGGCAGACCTGAACCAAGCCCAGGACTAAACTAAGCACAGGACAGACCTGAGCCAAGCCCAGGACTAAACTCAGCACAGGGCAGACCTGAACCAAGTCCAGGACTAAACTCAGCACAAGCAAGACCTGAGCCAAGTCCAGGACCAAACTAAGCACAGGGCAGACCTGAACCAAGTCCAGAACTAAACTAAGCACAGGGCAGACCTGAACCAAGTCCAGGACTAAACTAAGCACAGGGCAGACCTGAACCAAGTCCAGGACTAAACTAAGCACAGGGCAGACCTGAACCAAGTCCAGGACTAAACTCAGCACAAGCAAGACCTGAGCCAAGTCCAGGACTAAACTCAGCACAAGCCAGACCTGAGCCAAGTCCAGAGCCAACTGTAACCACCATTAGCGCTTACTTTCATATTGTGGCTTCATTTGATTCATAACGGAAGCATGGTTATTTTTGCTCTTTGCTCAAATGATTATTCCACCCAGAAATACTGCTCATAACTAACAAACAATTTGAAAGTAAATAGCCTATATATATACCAAATAAATGTAACAGTTTACATTTGTATCAAATATGCAATGACTGTTACATACCAGAGTCAGACAGGTCAAGGAATGGCTAAACCCTCTCAGAAATAACTTTTCTCTCATGCAATAAGGAGGAATAACTCAGATAACTAGCTATACAATAACAGAGGCAAGGAAGTGACTTCTAGATAAAGAAAGGGAGAAATTATTATCAAAGGAATGTGCACACTCTTCATATTGGGAATACAAAACATATTTAAAGTGACATAATTCAAAGGGGAGGACAGGACACTTGCAATTCATTGCCCCTCAGACAGCTTGCAATCATTCACTAGCCTATAGCTTCATCATCCTCTCCTCCGTACCATCCTTAGACCCATCCCTGTATATCTCTCAACTATCATCATCCTACCTTCATCTCTACCCACCCCTACCCACCCTTGTACAACCCCTAGCCTTCCTTCCTCACCCACCCATCCCTTGTACAACCCTTAGCCTTCCTCACCCATCCCCACCCCACCCTTGTACAACCCCTAGCCTTCCTTCCTTCCTCACCCACCCCCACCCCATCCTTGTACAACCCCTAGCCTTCCTTCCTCACCCACCCATCTCTACCTACCCCCACCCTACCCTTAAGTAAAACCCTTAGCCTTCCTCACCCACCCATCTCCACCCCAGCCTTGAACAACCCCTAGCCTTCCTCACCACCCATCTCCACCCATCCCCACCCTAGCCTTGTACAACACCTAGCCTTCCTCACCCACCCATCTCCACCCCAGCCTTGTACAACACCTAGCCTTCCTCACCCACCCATCTCCACCCCAGCCTTGAACAACCCCTAGCCTTCCTCACCACCCATCTCCACCCCAGCCTTGTACAACCCCTAGCCTTCCTCACCACCCATCTCCACCCCAGCCTTGTACAACCCCTAGCCTTCCTCACCCACCCATCTCCAACAATCCCCTCCCTAGCCTTGTACAACCCCTAGCCTTCCTCACCACCCATCCCCACCCCAGCCTTGTACAACCCCTAACCTTCCTCACCACCCATCTCCACCCCAGCCTTGTACAACCCCTAGCCTTCCTCACCACCCCAACCTTGTACAACCCCTAGCCTTCCTCACCACCCATCTCCACCCCACCCTTGTACAACCCCTAGCCTTCCTGAACCACCCATCTTCACCCATCCCCACCCCAGCCTTGTACAACCCCTAGCCTTCCTCACCACCCCAACCTTGTACAACCCCTAGCCTTCCTCACCACCCATCTCCACCCATCCCCACCCCAGCGTTGTACAACACCTAGCCTTCCTCACCCACCCATCTCCACCCCAGCCTTGTACAACCCCTAGCCTTCCTCACCACCCCAGCCTTGTACAACCCCTAGCCTTCCTCACCACCCATCTCCACCCATCCCCACCCCAGCCTTGTACAACACCTAGCCTTCCTCACCCACCCATCTCCACCCCACCCTTGTACAACCCCTAGCCTTCCTCACCACCCATCCCCACCCCAGCCTTGTACAACCCCTAGCCTTCCTCACCACCCCAGTCTTGTACAACCCCTAGCCTTCCTCACCACCCATCTCCACCCATCCCCACCCCAGCCTTGTACAACACCTAGCCTTCCTCACCCACCCATCTCCACCCCACCCTTGTACAACCCCTAGCCTTCCTCACCACCCATCTCCACCCCACCCTTGTACAACCCCTAGCCTTCCTCACCCACCCATCTCCACCCCACCCTTGTACAACCCCTAGCCTTCCTCACCCAACCACCCCACCCTTGTACAACCCCTAACCTTCCTCACCCACCCACCCCACCCTTGTACAACACCTAGCCTTCCTCACCCACCTACCCCACCCTTGTACAACCCCTAGCCTTCCTCACCCACCCACCCCACCCTTGTACAACCCCTAGCTTTCCTCACCCACCCACCCCACCCTTGTACACCCCCTAGCCTTCCTCACCCACCCACCCCATCCTTGTACAACACCTTGCCTTCCTCACCCACCCATCTCCACCCCAGCCTTGTACAACCCCTGGCCCTCCTCACCCACCCACCCCACCCCACCCCACCCTTGTACAATCCCCAGCATTCCTCATCCACCCACCCCACCCCACCCCCAAAACCCCTTAGGTGTTTCTCCTCCATCTACATCCATCCGTCACCCTTCAGCCGCTAGTAAGGCTCCATCTGCTGCAGCAAGTGCACCATGTATTATCATGATTGAGGTGTAACCAAATATTTCTACCTCTGTAGAGTTGATTTGTGTGGTTGGAACAAATATTGATTCATATTTGATTCATTTGATATTTGATTTAAATTTTGGACACATAAACAAACATTAATAAAACTGCTATACTGTACGATTTCAAAATAATTAAAAACATTTGATTCCAACATTATGGCAACATATATATATTTAGCAAAATGGTATCAAAAAGTATATACATACAAATTGTACACTTTATCATATACTTCAGCTGTCTAATGTTTGGCATAGGAGATTAAAAATAACCTACAAAAGTGAAGGATTTCATTAGTTTGATAATATCTGTTGATTACATGGAATGACCACGGAAAGTGTATTATGTCACTTTAAAATTATGCACAAGTAGTAAGAATGGAGTGAACACAAAACACAACAATATAAATGTCATGAAATAAAACACCTTACTTTGACACAATATGGAAGCCACTACACTGAAAAAATGAATGAAATATTGAGAAACATCTGCCTACTTTCCTTCGTAGATGTAAGAAACATGTCAATGAATACAAGGAAAAACCATTCTTCATCATTCTTTTTCGTGAAAACATATACTTATCTGTTATTGTCCATTCTTTGAACTATGATAAAAAGTCACATCCAAATCAAATTTCAAAACACAGTTTGACAACTTATGATGTAATCTAATTAACTGAACTGAAAATTGTTATATTTTTTTCTAGTTAGTTCTGAAAATCAAAATATTTTTACAGTGTATCTTCCTTGAAACTTGTTACAACAGCTAAAATATTCATGTGAATAAGAAAGTAAACATGTGATTTCTGTGCATATATTCACAATAGATTTACACAAACAATTTGTCTATGAAAAACTAATGTAGGAAGTATCTAAAATATTATGAAAATCTCTACAATATTACTGTTTATTACATATTTAGCAGTTACTACCATCCAATGTGGTCTGCACACTGGACAGAATATGTCATGGAGGTTTTAAGTACATAGAAATGATTGACCATGATGAAAAATGATTATCAGTATCATTCTAATAAAAATATGTACTAATTGAGCAATGTTATTTATTCTGTTTCTAAAAAGATTGAACTATTTGCAATGAAGTATCCTTTGTCAAGTTTTGTACATGAATATTATGCAGAATTATGCATCTTAGCTAGGAATATAGGTTATCTACAAGACTAGTGAAGGTTCAGTGACACTAACAGAGCTACAACACATCATATTGACAGAGGCTATGTGATCAGGGCCGAATATGTGCGACAGTGCAAACAGCCCATGTGTGACTGACACATGATTGTCTGATCGTCATGACAACTTGCATGTTGTGTTCTTGTTACCACCTGTGCCTGTTCATCTGCAAGTTGGCGTCCAACATTCCAAATCACAACAGAAACCCTGTGTCGACATCCTTGAGCCTCCAGCCCCCTGGTTGCTAGTTCCATGAGTTGCCTGGCAGAGTGGTTTCCCTTTATTCAGTGATTGCCGTCATCCTTGCTCATGGCCAGCTTCTTCATCTGCCGTATGACTGCCGCAGCATTGTAGGCTTGCTGCAAACACACAGGACAACATCATTGGGGTGTATATGTGTGTGTGTGTGTGTGTGTGTGTGTGTGTGTGTGTGTGAATGAAGAATTCAGTATCAATAATGGCAACAAGGACATATAAGTTACATCTTCACATCATCTTCCAAAGTGCTGTAAACATGCTTGAATGTATTCTCATTAGTATGAGTATGAAGTATTCACTATAACTATGATAACAGAACAATGGAGTGTGACAGTATTTACTATAGTGTATGCTGTATACTGACCCTCCATCTCGTCTTGGCAAAGTTCTTCTTGATCTGAGCGCTGACAGAAGCATGGATGTCCTTGTCCAAGGCAGCATTACCAGAAATCCTGTCACAAGACACAGCAATAGTCACACATCTCTCACCATGTCACAGTACCAACAAAATGAACATATTCTCATGACTTAGCTTAACCAAACCATCGAGGAAATACATTGCTAGAATTATTTTTAACTAACCCCTTATTATGACAGTTTCTGTGATGCTTGGTGCAGACGTTGGCAAGTTTAATTATTTGTTCCAAAATATTGCAACAGTGTGAAAAAAGAAGTTGTAACCCATACACTTACTTGCGATCAACTAACCCACTTTCTACTGCATGCCAAACAAATGTTCTCAATTACAAGTGTCAATAAAAAAACCTGGCTATATGGCTTCTGACTGCTTACCATGGATCATCCATTGCCTGTTTACATGTGAATCGTTGTTTGACATCCTTACACATTAGGTGTCGAATGAAGTTCTTTGCTGCAAGGAGATGGTAACAAAACAACCGTTACAGCATTATACAACGGTGCAACTCTGATGAAGAGGAGATAATTCTTACGGGCCACAATTCCCATACACAGATATACTTGGGCCACTGGCATAGTTATGAGTGTCAGGGCCTTGACTCAGTTAAATCTCTGCACTGAACAAAGTACTATTAGAAAGAATGTTCTGTACATTTCAATAGCAAAAGAGTTGTGTCACTCTGTGTCACTTATCATAGTAGTACAGAAAGTATAGGTTTCAGAAATCTTGAATTTGTAGCAAAACAAAGTCCTCTGAGGATGGACACATTTACCACTACAAGTCTACTCCCCAGTTTCAACACATAACTAACTAACCATATCTAAAGAAAGTGAGCCTGCTACATACCAGACTCCGATATCTCATCCCAGTACGGAGAGTCAAACTCGTACTCTGCTTTCAGGATCTGCTTGAAGAGCTCTGCATCACTCTCGTCATAGAAAGGAGGGTAACCACAGAGCCTGCACACAGAAGTAACACAGGTAACAGCAGACTGCTGGACACAGGGTACAACCCTACTTCCCTACAGGCCACCACAGACCAGCGCTGGCTAGTGAGACGTTTGGACACAGGGCACAACCCTACTCTCCTACAGGCCACCAAAGACCAGCGCTGGCTAGTGAGACGTTTGGACACAGGGCACAACCCTACTCTCCTACAGGCCACCACAGACCAGCACTGGCTAGTGAGACGTCTGGACACGGGTTACAACCCCACTATCCTATAGGCCCCCACACCCCAGCGCTGGCTAGTGAGACTGCTAGACACGGGGTACAACCCTACTCTTCTACAGGCCACCACAGACCAGTGCTGGCTAGTGAGACTGCTAGACACAGGGTACAACCCTACTCTTCTACAGGCCACCACAGACCAGTGCTGGCTAGTGAGACTGCTAGACACAGGGTACAACCCTACTCTTCTACAGGCCACCACAGACCAGTGCTGGCTAGTGAGACTGCTAGACACAGGGTACAACCCTACTCTTCTACAGGCCACCACAGACCAGTGCTGGCTAGTGAGACTGCTAGACACAGGGTACAACCCTACTCTCCTACTGGCAACCACACTCCAGCACTGGGTAGTGAGACTGCTGACACAGGGTACAACCCTACTCTCCTACAGGCAACCACACTCCAGCGCTGGCTAGTGAGACTGCTGACACACGGTACAACACTACTCTTCTACAGGCCACCACAGACCAGTGCTGGCTAGTGAGACTGCTAGACACAGGGTACAACCCTACTCTTCTACAGGCCACCACAGACCAGTGCTTGCTAGTGAGACTGCTAGACACAGGGTACAACCCTACTCTCCTACAGGCCACCACACTCCAGCGCTGGCTAGTGAGACTGCTGACACAGGGTACAACCCTACTCTCCTACAGGCAACCACACTCCAGCGATTGCTAGTGAGATGTCTGGACACGGGGCACAACCCTACTCTCCTACCAGTCACCACACCCCAGCGTTGGCTAGTGAGATGCCTGGACACGGGGTACAACCCTACAGGCCCCCACAGACCAGCGCTGGCTAGTGAGACTGCTAGACACAGGTTACAACCCTACTCTCCTACAGGCCACCACAGAACGCTGGCTAGTGAGACCGCTAGACACAGGGTACAACCCCACTATCCTATAGGCCCCCACACCCCAGCGCTGGCTAGTGAGACTGCTAGACACGGGGTACAACCCAACTATCCTATAGGCCCCCACACCCCAGCGCTGACTAGTGAGACTGCTTGACACAGGGTACAACCCCACTATCCTATTGACCTTTTTCACACTTTGCTACTTCCGGTTTGAAAGCGAGGCTTGGAGAGCAGAAGGTGAAGGCTGGATAGCACATGAAACACATGGAGATGTCAACAAGGCATGCAATCGGGACAAACTGTGACAATTTAACCATCCCGGTACATTTATCGTAAGTATTGAACATTATTCTTATTGACAAACTATTCTACTGTTATCTGGTCTCCTTACCGATATAAATTTAAGTCTGGCCGTTCTGTTGTGATTTCAATTTAAAATATCCATGACCTCCTGGTAACTCCCAGTGCAGTTTATGGTAGCTGAACAGACTTAATACAAATTCTACTGAAATCTTGTAAAAAATAATTCATTGTTTACACACCATTAAGCCAAACTATTTATTGTGAGTTTAAATAACTTTGCGGGTTGTATTTGAAGTCGAAATATTGACCTTTTGACCATATCTAGATATATGTCAGAAACTAATACAATATATATCAATATATAATGTATCAAATTGTAACCTATTGAGAATTTACAATCGTAACAAATCAGAAGTTTGCATCAGTTGTGTATTTGATGTAAATTGTAATGGACTCAAATGCATTCCAATAAAATATTAGACCTCTAGATCTAATTGTGCTGTTGGGATTGTGAACAGTTGTTATTTTGATTATCAATGTTGACAGATTAGATAGCATGAGGTGTAATATTTCAACTGAATTATTACATAAAGGGTGTGTAAATATTTAAAGTAAAGTACAGTTTGATCTGCAATTTTGGTAACAATTAATATTTCTACCAAAATGATATTTACTTTACTGTACCAATTTAATCATGTCATGAAATGAACAAAAACCCAACTAATAATGTCCAGTAAATGTTCAATCTACATGTGATCTTTATATAATTTACAGAAACAGATAACTCTTTAACAGTTTGTATTCAAATATTTCAAATGCATAAATTGATATTGACATTACTAAAAACTTAAAGTATAAAAAGAATTATTTTTAATTCCCATGCGTATTGCAATCATAACTCATTTATTCCCTTTGTTTAATTGTGAAACCCATCTGGTTTTATGTCCACAAACATGTTTTGAAACTTTTAAAACAAAAAGATATTTTTGGGTGCAAGCAATTGCCATGTATTATTGATTATTAATCATATCAATTTATATATAAGAATATAGTTGTGCTTACTGTGTCATTTTGCAATAACTATATTGTTATGATGTAATATTTTACTATTGTTAACAATCTTTAGAACTTTAGTTTATTTCAATCACGTCAAGTGGTGTGATCATTTTGATATTTTTTTATAATTCAATCAAAACGAGAAAAATAAAAAAATATAAATACATAGAAGAAATTTGTTGTCAAATTACGATGATAGCATGAATTTATCTCATGCTCCTTGTATAGCATGCTCCTTGTGAAAATTCATTCCATTTCTTCTTCGAATGTACCTTATATGATGATTTTAGGGAGACATTACTGACAGCTATCGATAATCTTAGAGGACAAAATACTCTACATAGTATTCTTTTTGGTGATTCAAACTTAGATGTTTTCCTGAATACAAAAATATTCTTGTCTGTACACAAATTTATAGAAACAACTAACAGATTCAGTAGCTAGCATATTATTGTTTCCAAACTGTTAATCATTAATATTGTTAAATCTATATTCAACACTAAAATGTATAATATTAGGATATGTATGAGATGCACACTGTCTTCACTTTCCAGCACATTGTACATATCCTTCATATGAGCACTGTATATATATTGCGCACTATGTTTCCACAATGTGAAGCTTCAACTGTAAATTGTTCATTTTCATTATGCAATATTATGTATAACTGTATATAGGGAGAAGGCGGTAATAAGTGCTGCCCTTTGTCTTTTTGGACAATAAAATATGTTTAATAATATTTCATCTTGTGATCTGACAAAGTTAATATTTTCAAGTCAAAATATCAACTTTAGTAAACCACATGAAGAGATAAATATTGCATTTGACAAAATAAATTCAAGTCTTATATTTTCTTTGTGATCTTCATGACCTTACTCAGAAAACCATAGTGTCAATGAGGCAGACTGACTCTAGGTGTGACAAAACGTGATATTTCACCTGATTTTAATAAAAATCTTATTTTTTTCACTCTAGCGAAAGTATGTTTTGAGCATGGTCATGATTAAATACATACCTGTAATACAAATATCAAAACGTGTTTCATTAAAACAAGAGTGAATTTCTGTGTGACATTGATATAAAGAGCTGTAGTACACTGTCATTAAATTGATGCATCTGTTGGGTTTACCCTTTACACAGAATATACTGTTTGAGTTTTCGACATATCAGATGAATTGATGCCTTCAAGATTGTTCTAAAGTACATGTAGCATGTAATGTTACACACTGTGATTAATTTTCCTTAAACTTCTCTATTTCAGAAGAATGTTGTTTTCTAAATAAGCAATATTTTGAGAGAAGGTGAATATGCATTGTTTATAAAAAATGTTATTGAAGTAGGAATATTATTACAATATAATAGAATTATTCATTTCAGGCCAGCGAGTCAACACAATGAAGTTCTAGTATCCCGTGACGGATGTCTGGAGGAGCTTTCTGCTGACAGTAACACAATGGTTACAATGTCCATCCTGTCAAAGGACGAGGAAGTGAAAAGCCATATTCATTCAATCAACAAATGTGGTTCCTGTCACATTTCTCTTAAATAGGACGAGGAACTGAAAAGCCTTATTCACTCACAAATCAACATGGCCAATATTTATCGGACACTGAAAAAGCACATTGTACCATTTGTTTACAAGCAAGAAAATTATTTTCTCCTGGAATTTAATTAGGTGCTTTTGACTGACAAAGACACCCAGTCCATGTTAAGTTTTGAAAACTTATATTGTGAGAAATAAAGATATGAAAATTTTGGTTTGTTTTTCTTTGTCAAATATGAGAAATCCAGATTGTTCCATCAACATAATTTGTACCGATACATATATTTTATCTTGGCTTGATTACCAATTGAAGTTGATTCCTTTTTATCTTTTGTTATTTTATCTGTACTCATATCTGATCAAGACATTTTCAAACTATTCAGGATAAATGTATTAGTAGCTTCCTTTTGATATACAATTACCTTTCATCATACAGGATTAGGTGAGGGTGTTCAAGAAGTTGGTAGTTGTATCAATTCTTATATTTCTTCAATTTCATGCATTATTTATATTTATCAATTTTTAGTTTCCTTTTAACTTATTTTAAACAGTTCACACATTATTACTTTTGTAGTACACGGTGCAATCTCAATCGGCAATAATCAGTTAAGTAAGTGATGTTTGAAGAACAAGTAAAGTATCATCTGTCATTGTACACACTGAATAGGGTTATCGCCCCTTCTGAATATTTATTTTGACACACGAATTATTTTCATAATTAACATTGTAATATGTTAAAATGAAAATCATAGCAGAAAAAGTGTCTTTTGTCAACTGGACTCATGGCAAAACGATAGTGCGTTGTGCAGCAAACACCACTATGAAACATGAAATAAACATGATCTCAATCTTGATCTAGAGTTCGCCAAGCCACGCATTGACTGAGCAATTTTGCAAAAGTACACTGACGTGTTTCATGTTATGCGGTTTATTTACGATAGAAAACTTCTGTCATTGAATGTACTGTCACATTGTACCTATATGCCGACAAGGTTATGATAAAACAATCTATTTCTGAAATACGTATCTCGAAATGCACCTTTCGATTCACTTCTGGGATCCTGACAGCAAAATGCTAATTCCAGTGTATTACAGGCATATTTTAGTTGGACCTCATGATTTAACGTGAAATATCTTCTGTATTATATACAGAGGATACCATTTTTTGTTTGTTTGAAATGTCCAACATGCTGTCTATTCCCTATGAGCTGATGCGACTCTCACTGCATGGAGCTATGCTCCCCAAGCCTCGTTTTCGATCCAAGATGGCGAAAGTGTGAAAAAGGTCAATAGGCCCCCACACCCCAGCGCTGCCTAGTGAGACTGCTTGACACAGGGTATAACCCTACTCTCCTACCAGTCACCACACCCCAGCACTGGCTAGTGAGATGTCTGGACACGGGGCACAACCCTACTCTCCTACCAGTCACCACACCCCAGCACTGGCTAGTGAGAGCATGTAGGTTATCCCAGCATGGTGACCTCTCTGGTCAGCCAACAGTCTCCCCACACCCTGTAAATTCACTGTTTATCTTGTACTGCTGTCATGCTAAGGTTAATAAGTAGACAAGGTTTTATCATTTGAAAAAGAATTCTGCAAGGTTTTTTATAATTGGCAGGATAAATAAATACTGTTCTAAAAAAACAGACTTGATCATAACAGTAAAGCCACCATGCCCTGAGATCTCCAATGTGATGCATGCCACCTTTCCTATTTCCCAATGACTGCCTGACATTAATTTGGATGTACCCATTATCTTTATGTGATCCTTCATATCCTAGTAACAACATGAGTTATTTACCCAGAAGTGGTATTCCCCAAAACTATGTCAATCAGATATAGCTAAATTATTGACTGCTTAAGTTTCCTCATATAAAATGTACACTTGTTCCTTGTTTATTAAAATTTGATATAATGAATCTGGTCTTGTCTCTGGATTACATAATAAAACAATTATAGACTTCATAGTTACCCTGGACCTAAATGTTAAACTTGTTGAATCAAATAAATCCCAAAACAGGAACAAAAATATTATTCTATATTATATGTTCAGCACAATAAACTCCTCACTTAACATGGTTTGTCTGCTTATGACACTCATTCATTCAAACATGCTGTTCATGGTGTGTAATGTATTGAGGGCTACATGACGTACAATATATAGGCTATGACTCCTATAGACCAGCAGTCCACCTCCTTCCCATACGGCTGTTGGGCCAGCACTTCAGGGGCTGGAAACAAACAAAGAACATCAGGAGATAAAGACAGAAGTAAAAATCAATTCAGTATCACACCCCATGCAGTGCGTGCTCTGAACAAAGCCGAGATATGTGGGTTCAATATAGGAATGCACAACTACCACCTTGGACAGAGACGGTGGTTCATACATACAGCCTGCACAACTACCACCTTGGACAGGGACGGTGGTTCATACATACAGCCTGCATGTACAACTACCACCTTGGACAAAGACGGTGGTCCATACATACAGCCTTCATACACAACTACCACCTTGGAGAGAGACGGTGGTTCATACATACAGCCTTCATACACAACTACCACCTTGGACAGAGACAGTGGTTCCTACATACAGCCTGCACAACTACCACCCTGGGCAGAGACGGTGGTTCATACATACAGCCTGCATGCACAACTACCACCTTGGACAGAGACGGTGGTTCCTACATACAGCCTGCATGCACAACTACCACCTTGGACAGAGACAGTGGTTCCTTCATACAGCCTGCACAGCTACCACCTTGGACAGAGACAGTGGTTCCTACATACAGCCTTCATGCACAACTACCAACCTGGACAGAGACGGTGGTTCCTACATACAGCCTGCACAACTAACACCTTGGACAGAGACAGTGGTTCCTACATACAGCCTTCATACACAACTACCACCTTGGACAGAGACAGTGGTTCCTACATACAGCCTGCACAACTACCACCTTGGACAGAGACGGTGGTTCATACATACAGCCTGCACAACTACCACCTTGGACAGAGACAGTGGGTCCTACATACAGCCTGCACAACTACCACCTTGGACAAAGACAGTGGTTCCTACATACAGCCTGCACAGCTACCACCTTGGACAGAGACGGTGGTTCATACATACAGCCTGCACAACTACCACCTTGGACAGAGACGGTGGTTCATACATACAGCCTGCATGTACAACCACCTTGGACAGAGACGGTGGTTCATACATACAGCCTGCACAACTACCACCTTGGACAGAGACGGTGGTTCATACATACAGCCTGCATGTACAACCACCTTGGACAGAGACAGTGGTTCCTTCATACAGCCTGCACAGCTACCACCTTGGACAGAGACAGTGGTTCATACATACAGCCTGCATGCACAGCTACCACCTTGGACAGAGACGGTGGTTCCTACATACAGCCTGCATGCACAACTACCACCTTGGACAGAGACAGTGGTTCCTTCATACAGCCTGCACAGCTACCACCTTGGACAGAGACAGTGGTTCATACATACAGCCTGCACAACTACCACCTTGGACAGAGACGGTGGTTCATACATACAGCCTGCACAGCTACCACCTTGGACAAAGACAGTGGTTCATACATACAGCCTGCATGCACAACTACCACCTTGGACAAAGACAGTGGTTCATACATACAGCCTGCATGCACAACTACCACCTTGCACATGCCTAAGATTTGTTTGCTGTTTTTCTCAACAGTCTGCAATATTTCAGCTATATCACATTCCTGTGTAAATGCTCGAGTCTGGACAAGTCAAACCAGAGATTGACTACAAGCAATGTCCCACACCATCAGGTCCCCAATGAACCAAGTCCCAGAGTCAGATCATCCAATCTATTTAGTGACTTTATGACAAGCAGAGGTTGCAGGGACCTATTCTAAGTGTGCCCTCCAGGGGATCATTACAGGCAGGTTGAGCAACACACCTTGCTTGGGGCAGGACAAAGGGCAGTAGGCCACAGCTTGTGGCTCTGTTTACTTCACAACTTTATCGTAATCTGTACACAAAACATTCTTCCAGCCAAACATTCCAACAAAGATTAATTAGGGCAATGTATATGTAGCTGAGTGTTGGCATCTAACTCTAACAGAAAGTTTCCAAAGGTAGCTGTGATCACTCTGTTTAGCCCTCAGTTGTTTCATATGAAAGTTTTGTTACTCTGACATGAAACAACTAAATAAAGAACTAGAAAGCATGACATTCTATACATGCTGAATGATAAGTCAATGTTAAGAGGTGAGTTCATGTAAGATTTATCTGATTTTATGGATCATAGGCCTTACCTTTGAGAAGATCTGTAACACATCTGAATCTTGGTTCTAAATTTTAGATCAGGAAGTTTATACAAGGGCCAAGAAGGATTAGCTAAGGGCATAACAAGTTTCTACAAATCAGACTCCCCACATCATGCTGACGACATTACGTAAAGGTACGTACACTGGCTTACAGGGAGTTAGGTCAAATGTTCATCATGAGTAACCACAGCACATGTTCAGCCATAACAAAGTCTTGGCCAAGGCTGAAGTTGTGACAATACCACAATCCCCCCAAAGATATAACATAAGTTACTAATAAATCATACAACATGAAACATGTACATAACGTTTCAGTCACATGAGCAACAAAGCAGAAAGTTTGAGACCTAAACTTGTAGCATGTACCTACTAATCTGGCAAAAGAAAACTGTTCCTTTTACATTTGTATTTCCCTTACACTAACAGACAGGAAAAGCATAAGTAGATCAAATCAAGTTTGTACAAAATCACAACAAATACGTTCAATGTGTTTTGGACAAATTAAAGTGAATTTATGTCTGTAATACATCTGAGTTTTATTTCAGAGAGAGATCAACTTCTAATTAATTGGAAATGATATATAAACAATTTCAATGATTTTATATCTTAACACCATTCACATGAGAGCATTGCTGAGATCACCTGTAATACTGCCAGCTACTTGAATTGTACCATAGGTGTATATATACATATATATACATATTGATACATATAGATATATATGGCTACATGTGCCACCCTCTTTACTAGGAGAAATGGAACATCTACTGTCTGGCTATACATGAATGGGGCACCTACTGTTTGGCTATACATGAATGGGGCACCTACTGTCTGGCTATACATGAATGGGGCACCTACTGTTTGGCTATACATGAATGGGGCACCTACTGTTTGGCTATACATGAATGGGGCACCTACTGTCTGGCTATACATGAATGGGGCACCTACTGTCTGGCTATACATGAATGGGGCACCTACTGTTTGGCTATACATGAATGGGGCACCTACTGTTTGGCTATACATGAATGGGGCACCTACTGTCTGGCTATACATGAATGGGGCATCTACTGTCTGGCTATACATGAATGGGGCACCTACTGTTTGGCTACACATGAATGGGGCACCTACTGTTTGGCTAAATAAGGACCACCCTCTCTACAGGCACAACCTGCTTGCTACATATACCACTTTCTTCATCCCGTCCTTGACTTACCCACATATCCTGGTGTGCCACACGCTGTCTCCATAATGCCAGTACCCTCCACCTTCGACAACCCAAAGTCGCTGATCATGATTTTGGAATCCTCATCATGGCTGTAGTATAACAAATTCTCCGGCTGAAAAGCAATATCACAAGCATAATAGATTATGTGTCAGATAGTTAGAGGAGACTCTCTTGATCGTCCCTACAGTCATGGGTAACGTTGGGTAGTGTATCCATGGGTAGATGACACACATGGCAAGCAAACCTCCATGAGTGTGTGCCAGTGTAAACACCTGCTGCTGTAATAGTTGGTACTTGGGCCAAATGGAGGAAAGAAACACACTCTTGTCATCATCCAGTAGGATGCAACATATACACACAAGAATGGTCATTTGATTCAAACAACTGTCTTAGTTATCTGGACATTGGATAATCTTCAGATTGGAACTGAGTGACATTCATCATAAGCAATCTATCCTTCAATCTGATCATTTAAAACATGTCTGTGACATCATTCTATGGTTTGGGTGCTCCATTATTTTTAGGGAATAGTGAGTAGATGTGTTCTCTGCCACTGTTGCACGTGCTCCGTCGTGAGCTGATCTTTACACTGCATGTTTAATGACTCTTTAGTTTGTAGTTTTTAAAAATGGTGGTAACATATCCAGAAAAGAAAAATGGTTTTACAGAAGGAAGCCTGTAGAAGTTGTTCCATTTTATAAATACTTAGGCTTGTGTTTTACAAGTAGATTAACTTGGTCAAGGAATGCACATAACATTTCATTGCAAGTCAAGAAAATTTTTGTAGGCATATTAAAAAGTCTTAGAGTTCTGGACAATGTTACATATGATGTTTATTTTAAAATATTTGATACAAAAATAAGCCCGATGCTATTGTATGGATCCGAAATTTGGGGCCTAGAACATTTGGATGTTATTGAGAAAATACATTTATATGCATGTAAACGGTTCTTGGGGTAAAATCTAGCACAGAAAAAGCAAGGGTATATGGTGAATGTGGACGGTTTCCCATGTATATCAATAGTTTTTTAAAGGTTATTAAATACTGGGTCAAGCTATTAAATATGCCATCTTCAAGATACCCGGAAATTTTTTATAATATGATGCTTCTCTACGACAGCCATGGGAAACAAAATTGGGCATCAAAAGTTAAAAACATGCTATACGAATGTGGATACGAATGTGGATATGGTTATATTTGGTTACAGCAACATGTAGATATGCCACAACATTTCTTCTCCCGTTTGACACATACTTTAAAAGATATGTACATTCAAAAATGGCATTGTTCTTGGTTTAGTTCTAGAAAAGCAAACTATTACACTACATTTATCACTATCACTTTTTATGTGTATGTCCAGTGTATGAAGATTTAAGAGCAAAATATCTAAATAACTATTTCTACCGCAACCCAAACGGTAACAAATTTTGTAAATTAATGACTTGTGACTGTACAGAAACTATTAGAAATCTATCAATGTTCATTTATCATGCCATGAAACTAAGAAAATGTATGAATTTGTAACACGCCCCACACATTGTACTATAGGCCTTTGGCCTCATAAGTACCATGAATAAAGATTGACTCTTTAGAATGTTTTGTCAAAGTGTAAGAGTAGAGATGTTAGAGACTGTGGAAAAAGTACAGTTTTGTTTCACTTCTGTAAAATCAAAAAAACATATATTCACACATTTATTCACTGAAAAATTGATTGCTGACACATATCATGAACGAAGTATCCTGACAAAGAAGATATGACTTTGGTGTTTGGCTTCAGCTCCATGGTCAACACAATCACCTACTACCATCTACTTCAACATTCATATGGTGTTGCCCAATATATACTGAACCGCAAAAGACATCACCATGGATAGATATATCCTTAATTGTCCAAACACTGTAAACATACTTTGAGACATATTAAAAAGATGAAACTAGGCAAAACTGATCATCAAGGTTGAAATTAAAGTGTCAAATGATCTTAAAGTGAAACACAAACACTAGTCTCTGAGAAAATGGCATCACAAGTCAGTATCTCATGTGTCCGCCATGTGCATTGTTGACTGACGTGTAACATCGATACATGGAATGGATGAGGCGGTTGATGAAGGCCATAGGCATTTGAGTCCACACTCTGAGGAACGCCTGACGCAGTTCAGCTGCAGTTGTCGGCCTTGTTGGGATGTCATTCAGCTTTCTTTGAATCTCGTCCCACAGATGCTCAATGGGATTTAAATCGGGACTGAGGGCAGGCCACTGCATGGTTCTGAGGCCATTCTCCTGGAGGAAATCTCTTGTTGCTCTCGCAGTGTGGGCATGGGTGTTATCATGCTCAAACTCTTGGTTGCGGCGAAGTGCCAAATGAGGAATGGCATGTGGTCTCAAGACTTGAGCAATGTACCGAGTTGCTGTGACACCATTGCCTCTCCCTGGACCGATGTTCTGGAAGACTACAGGGCCGACCCTCTGTGCAAGATCAATTCCGTCCCACATCATGATGCTCGGACCACCCCACGAGTCTCTCTCAACAACACAAGCATCCGAATAACGTTCCCCACGGCACTGCCAGACTCTCTCTCTGCCATCTGAGAAGAGGTGCTTGTGGCACCAATGCTGGTGCTGTGTTGCCCACTGAAGACGGTCCCGGCGATGACATGGTCCTCGGTGTGGCCTGTGTCAGTGGAGGTGTCTGCTTGGCAATCGTCGATGCACGGTGTATGCACTGATGTGTCACTTCTGTCTCCCATGGTATGTTGAGCAGTTTCCGCAGTAGTAACAAAACGATCTTGAAGATGTTGTCGCTCAATCTGACAATCCTGACATCAGTGGGTGACCCTTGGTCTCCCACTAAGTGGTCAGTCATCTGTAGTGTTGGTGGTCTGTCATCTGTAGTGTTGGTGGTCTGGTACCGATACTGGAGTCTGTATATGGTCCTTACGTGGACTTGAAATGCTTTGGCTACTTGCCGGGCGGTTTGTCCAGCTTGCAATCGCCCAAGGGCTTGGTGTCGCTGATTTCTTGTCAATCTTAGCATGTGGTAGCAATTCAATAACAAATGAATGTTATCCGATCTGGGTGAATTTTTATAGGGCAAGAACTGGGGGAACGCATGTGCATTTCAATTTGCACGGAACTCATGTGCATTAAAAAATTCATTTTTCCAGACAAGGTAATGTTGAATTTAGAAACTTTGACAAAACTTACCCAGATATTTAAATGACAATTTTTCATGCAATGTTACTTGGGGTGACGTTTCTTTTTCGGATCAGTATATAATGTTTATCTCATTGAATGAATGAAAAGAGTGGACATTTTCATGTCACAAGATATGCTCATGACAAGGTAGGGAGAATATTCGCCTACCTATCTTCACTCATACACAAGACAGCTGGTCTCTAGGGGCTGATCTTAACACCCACCCACTGGTCTGTCATCTCTCCACTGTAGAACAATATATAGGGGATTGATTGCACTGTGAGGTCTGACAACAGTATCATGTCCTCTGTTGTACCCACCTTCAAGTCTCTATGTACAACTCCCTTTGTGTGCATGTAGTCAACTGCAGCCAGGACCTGCTTTATCAAGTTACTGGCATCCTTCTCTGTGTAACTTCCCTTCTCAACGATCCTGTCAAACAGCTCCCCTCCAGTCACACTGAAAACACCAAGCCCTCACCTCAACCTCAGCTACATTTTTCCATAATACTCATTCCTAAAGCTGCTTAACCAGCATGAATGATTATTCCAACAAGTCAACAAACAACATTCAACAACCTGTGTTATCTGCATTTATCAGGTCTTAGGTTTATATTTAACAACAATGGATATTCAGTTTGCAATAATGATATGTTGCTGCCTCTACTAACTTTCAGGCAGTGAGAATCTGGCTCCACCAATCTCCTAGAGAAACACCATCAGAGGCTAAGGGACAACCAGCCAAGGACAAGCTCAGCTTGACCTGTATTATTGGGAGAATGCTGACTTAATCAGCATCATTTCCCGTACCTGGTCCTCCTGCTCCCATATTTATTACACATGAAACCCACGAGACTCATTTCACCTCCTTGCGGGTCCCTTGCACTTCAATCAATGTCAACCACACCTGATACTTCTCAATGTCAGGTTGTTGTCTCGCTACAGGAGGATCAAACATTTAGGTGGGTTCTGATTAAACTCATTAAGTAAGTGAATGTTGTGTACCACAATATTGTAGCTCTGTCACTGCAGCCTAGAAATAATCAAACCTGACATTGTAACCGTCCACTACAGTCAGCTTGTACTGTGTATTTTGTATGAGAATCCCTATAGGTGTCAGTTTATATGTCTGCTGTGGTTGAAGGGCTCGATTTAAGGAACTGGATTAAACTTGCACCTCGTGCATGTTGACAAGAAAAACAATTACACCACACAAAACCAGGTTGCACCCTGCAGGTCATAAAAATGTATCAAAGTAGAAACACTGACTGACCTGCTGCCAGTGTCACATACATTCATGACACATTGCTATAAAATATAATAGGAACATGTACACATAATGAAGTATCCACAGTTTGATGACCACAAGCCTAAGAAAGCATGACAAAATACACGTAACAGGCATTAGAGATGTAGTAGGGTAAATAAGCTTTAGGGGTACTGAGTGTGTTCGAAGATCAGTCTTGTGTGGACAAGTTAGCATTAGTCAGACATAAATCTGATTTTTTTCACATGCGCTTGGATGTAAACATAAATATTAGATTGCATTTATTTTCTACAATAGATTGCACAGTGCATGTCTGATATAGCTAAATGGAGCACATGATGATGGAAGGCTGCTGACCTTGGACATGGAGCATGGTCAGACAGATCAGGGAGAATTATTCAGGAGGTACTTGATCAACTACTTGTCTCTCCTTCTTAATGTTGCACAAAGGGAACTGGGGGAATGGGATGAGGACTGGCATCTATCTGTCTCTGCACCAAGGTCTAAGCTGGGAATATCGGGGATGATACAGGTCTATGACACAATGAAGCCCAAGTCAAGAGGGTGGGGGCGAGATTCTGTGACAAATTGTTAGTGATGTTTCTAAAAGGGCAAACTCACTCCAAATACGTCATGAGATGCTGACTGTCAGATATTCACACCCACCTTCTGGGAATTACCCTGTGGTTATCTCCTGGGAAAGTACATTTACGTCACTCTTAGTGCCAGATTAATTTGTAACTAACATGACACTTCTGAAAATACCGAAATGGTGAGGATAAATTATTTTTTATATTGGAACACATTTCTCTTCTAAGGGATGTAGTTAGGTATATTCAATAGCCATGATGGCCACTAAGCACTGGTGGTTGACTTAAGTGTGACCTGAATGTGTGGTGGTTGACTAGTGTGACCTGAATGGTTGACTAGTGTGACCTGAATGTGTGGTGGTTGACTTAAGTGTGACCTGAATGTGTGGTGGTTGACTAGTGTGACCTGAATGGTTGACTAGTGTGACCTGAATGCGTGGTGGTTGACTTAAGTGTGACCTGAATGTGTGGTGGTTGACTAGTGTGACCTGAATGGTTGACTAGTGTGACCTGAATGTGTGGTGGTTGACTAGTGTGACCTGCATGTGTGGTGGTTGACTAGTGTGACCTGCATGTGTGGTGGTTGACTAGTGTGACCTGAATGCGTGGTGGTTGATTAGTGTGACCTGAATGCGTGGTGATTGACTAGTGTGACCTGAATGCGTGGTGGTTGACTAGTGTGACCTGAATGCGTGGTGGTTGACAAGTGTGACCTGAATGTGTGGGGGTTGACTAGTGTGACCTGAATGCGTGGGGGTTGACTAGTGTGACCTGAATGTGTGGTGGTTGACTAGTGTGACCTGAATGCGTGGTGGTTGACAAGTGTGACCTGAATGTGTGGGGGTTGACTAGTGTGACCTGAATGCGTGGTGGTTGACTAGTGTGACCTGAATGCGTGGTGGTTGACAAGTGTGACCTGAATGTGTGGGGGTTGACTAGTGTGACCTGAATGCGTGGGGGTTGACTAGTGTGACCTGCATGTGTGGTGGTTGACTAGTGTGACCTGCATGTGTGGTGGTTGACTAGTGTGACCTGAATGCGTGGTGGTTGATTAGTGTGACCTGAATGCGTGGTGCTTGACCTGCATGTGTGGTGGTTGACTAGTGTGACCTGAATGCGTGGTGGTTGATTAGTGTGACCTGAATGCGTGGTGATTGACTAGTGTGACCTGAATGCGTGGTGGTTGACTAGTGTGACCTGAATGCGTGGTGGTTGACAAGTGTGACCTGAATGTGTGGGGGTTGACTAGTGTGACCTGAATGCGTGGGGGTTGACTAGTGTGACCTGAATGTGTGGTGGTTGACTAGTGTGACCTGAATGTGTGGTGGTTGACTTGTGTGACCTGAATGTGTGGTGGTTGACTAGTGTGACCTGAATGTGTGGTGGTTGACTAGTGTGACCTGAATGTGTGGTGGTTGACTTGTGTGACCTGAATGTGTGGTGGTTGACTAGTGTGACTTGCATGTGTGGAGGTTGGCTAGTGTGACTGAGAGGGTGAGAGTGACCTGTGCACCATGCTTGTTGACCCGTAAACTGAGAGGGTGGGAGTGACCTGCATGCCATGCTTGTTGACCTGTATACTGAGAGAATGGGAGTGACCTGTTCACCATGCTTGTTGACCTGTGGACTGAGAGGGAGGGAATGACCCACAAGCTACTCACAGTTCCATGACCAGGAAGACATGTGTCTTGTCATCAAACACATCCACAAGCTGTACGATGTTGGGGTGGTTCAGTCTGAAATAATAAATAAGAAGTGTTGATAGTATATATACTAGCCCCTAAATCTTAAAATATAACAATGAAAAGTTTCCATGGAAACTTTAATAGGTGGATACTGAGATCATAAGAAGACAGCAGTACAGCATGTTTATTGTCCATGACGTTACGTGTCCAAATGTGGGGTGGGGGTCAAGCAACAATGTCGCAAACTCAATAACGGGTATGCTCACCATGAGCAACGATAAGTATATCAAATGGGCATGGAAGGCTTGTGGAATGGCTTGCCATACACTCTGCAATGGAATGTTATCTGGCAGATCTGGTACACGAGGATGACATCGCTCCATTTCATCCCACACAGAGATCCAGTGAATTTGCAGGCCAAGGTAGTACTTGAACATTGTGCTGTTGAAGTAATGCCATAGCAACCCTAGCTGTGTGAGGACAGGCGTTATCCTGTTTGAATGTCAAACCTGGGCCATGAGGTTGATGAAACTGAATCACCACTGGTCACAGAATCTGATCTCTGTAGCCCACACCTGTCAAAATGCTCTGAACAACAACTAAAAGGGTTCTCTGACGTGCACTTATTCTACCCCAAATCACGGGACCACCCCATTCCTCTCCATGACACAGGCTTGAGCATAAAGCTCCCCAAGATGTCTGTAGACTCTTTGACTGTTAAATCTGGACTCGTCTGTAAAAACAATAGTCCTCCACCACAGCCGAGATTGACGCACATGATTTCTACACCACCTTTGACGGTGGTTTAGTCTATCACATTGCATCAGGATGTATGGCGGGATGATGTGGTTGTATCCTGTTACAGTATGAGCAGTTCCTGACTGTGTTGGGGTGGATACGCTGAATCCCTGGAATGGTCTGAGCACCGAACACTGCAGTCTGAAACCTGTGCTGGAGATGGGTCACCTGTATCCATCTGACCTGTCTTAGCATAATAACGTATGGGCGTCCTCCATGTTGGCAATTGACAACTTCATTAATTCTTCTGATAACGTCTCAACAGTGCTGAAATGGTGTTTCGGTGGCAATGGAAATACACAGCCACCTGACGTTTGAGACATTCCCCCACTGACAATCCCAAAAGCCTCATGACGTTGTGCAGTCTTGAGTCCTCACATAATGTGCGGTTTATTAGCCATTTAATTCTTTGAACGATCAAACGTCAAACAATAAGGCTTCCCAAATCAACAGCAGCTTTTTTTCATCATGTGATCCACACAGTGTATCACAAGATGCACATGCCCATGCCGAAACCACTGACGTCATGAAACAGAGCCTTACACAACACTACAGTATCCTTGCACAACACTGCCTCATCCTTACACAACACTGCCTCATCCTTACACAACATTGCCTAATCCTTACACAACATTGCCTCATCCTACACAACACTGCCTCATCCTTACACAACACTGCCTCATCCTTACACAACATTGCCTCATCCTTACACAACACTGCCTCATCCTACACAACACTGCCTCATCCTTACACAACACTGCCTCATCCTAACACAACATTGCCTCATCCTTACACAACACTGCCTCATCCTTACACAACACTGCCTCATCCTTACACAACATTATACCATCCTTACACAACACTTACACAACACTGCCTCATCCTTACACAACATTGCCTCATCCTTACACAACATTATACCATCCTTACACAACACTACACCATCCTTGCACAACACTACACCATCCTTGCACAACACTATACCATCCTTACACTTCACTATGCCAACCTTGCACAACACTACACCATACTTGCACACCTCTACACCAACCGATGACAACACTTCACCATCCTTCACAACACTACACCATCCTTGCACAACACTATACCATCCTTACACTTCACTATGCCAACCTTGCACAACACTACACCATACTTGCACAACTCTACACCATCCGATGACAACACTACACCATCCTTCACAACACTACACCATCCTTGCACAACACTGCATCAACCCTTCACTTCACTATGCCAACCTTGAACAACACTACACCATCCTTGCACAACTCTACACCATCCTTGCACAACACTACACAATCCTTGCACAACTCTACACCATACTTGCAAAAGAGTACACCATTCTTGCACAACACTACACCATCCTTGCACAACACTGCATCATCCCTACACTTCACTATGCCAACCTTGCACAACACTACACCATACTTGCACAACACTACACCATCCAGGCACAGTAACACTACACCAGCTTTGCACTACAACTATATATGTCACCTATATCATCTTCAGGGCCAGTGCAGAACAAACAGAAGCCAATGCTACATGTGTAACTCAAAATGCCCAATATATATATGCCTAACTACAGGGAGAAACATATGATAGGCCTTAAATAAAACCATATCAAGAGTGCTCCCACTGTTGTGTGGATGAACCTGAGAGACAGGCTCATGAAGTATGGTCCAGAGGGAACACAGAGTCCCATATCACTGATGATGGTGTCGTCACCAAAGCAAAACCAAATCCCCTCCCACAATGTCACTGTCCAAGTTAATAACAGGAACTGACATCTTCTTTAGTGAGCCTACCAAAATATAACAGATCATATCAATTACTTTCAGCTGGAAAAGATATGTTGGTACAAGATACACACCACCATGATTTCATGAATATATGCACAGAGTAAGCGGTGTAGTCCAACAGGGTTACTTATAATCCAATAAAGTTGCCATACCACACTATTAGGATGTGTATGAACAGCAGGATTTACTATGCATGATGACAGCACATTGTTTTCATATGTTTGACCAGTATCTTATTGGCATTGCTTCTGAGACTTGGTAAACTGGACCTTTTGCTTTGCTATCAATCTGTAAGCAATATATTTTGAATATATATTTATACGAAAAACTTCTAATAAGGAGCCCTACTATGCAAAGAGGCCTATTTTGGCAGGAGAGCATTTAATATTTTTTAAGGTCTAACATGTTAAAGATGACCTCTTTTCTGCAGAGACTCATTTCACACATCTGTTCTCTGCAAGCTGAATGAAATCCTCAAGATTGAAATTCCACATGCATTACTACACAATAATAATATCATCTGCATTAATTGCACACACACACACACACACACACGAAAAGTGTTTGCATTAAATGCAAAAACAGAAGCTTCTTGTGTGCCCCAAAACTTTCCAATCAGAAACATGTATCACAACTAATTTGACGTTTCCACATCAGGTGATCTCACACTTGCATAATGCAGTAACACATTGAAACAGAAAAGCCGATGCCACTGAGGCTACCTTAATATCAAAGTTATGATCAATTCTGGTTTGAGAAAATATACAACTCAAAACAAGTAAAAGAAATCCCCACAATTGGAAGGCTGTGTGCTGTATCAACGCGTGTCGGTCTGACGTTGATTAATGAACAATTTGCATACTCGTATATGCAAGAGGCCGACGTATGGTTCTCAGTAGGAAGTGACAACTTGGAGACGATGGCTTGCAGTATATACAGTTTTACTTTATACATGTAGATAGATACATACAAATGACACTATGTGCCAAGTCAGCACATAGTGGTAGTGCTTGTTGTCTTGGTGCCCCGGAGCACCCAGCCTAACCCTAGCTAGGCTAAGCTAGGGTAAGACCTTTTTTTCTCCTTCCCTTCTCTCAATCATTCTGGACCAAGGCTTATATAGCCAAGGTCACCTGACATTTAGTAAGTAATAAATATAAATATAAACAGTAAATCATCAGTGACATACTTGCACATCCTGTTCAGGATGGCAGACGGTCGATGTACACAAAACTGGGGATTAACACTTAGGATTAGCATCTTATAAATAACAGCAATTAAATGTTTCAAGGCATATAGATGTCATAGCTCCAGGGTAATGAGCCTTTGCAATCAAATGTTCTTCAGACAATGGGTGTCGTAAATCAGTCACCATGACAGCTGCAATACTCAGCTGAGCCATGTCAGATGAACCAGAGTTACATGAAAGAATCTGGTGTTCATTCCCACAGTACAAATGTCCAATGCAGTACAACTCTGAAGCAGAAAATCCAATGCTCAAATTTCTTTAATAATAGAGTGTAAGCACTGCCAGCCATGAACTGCCTAGAGATCATGTATACAATGTTTCCTCAAATTTTGATAATAAAAGTTACAGATATTGTGACTACACAAGTTTTGTGGGAAGTTGGACTTCCTGCAAAACCTGTGTAGTCACAATATCTTGAGCTTTTATGACTGAAATTCCCACCAAATGAGCTCGACTTTCAAGGTATTCCAATCACATACAGGATCATTACTCCTTTCAAACTATGGTTGTATTACAACTGAGAAGTTTTGATAACATACTAACAATTAACTCCCTGATGGAAACTATTTACATGTTGTTTCATGAATTAATGCCCTTCAAAGCGACCTTGAAATTTGACACAACCATGACATATGATAGGTGTTGAGTTAGTGACTTTGAATTTTTCGTAACTACACTTTTATTTTTCATAAAGTAATCTGAAATGTCATTAAATTTGTACCATGTTTCATAATTTGACCCTATAAGTGTCCGTAACATTACGGGGGACACCCAACAGTTGAAGTGATTGAGACCCTGCTTTAGAGATGTGTACTAAGTAAAATTCCAATCATTAATACTCAAGTTATCTTGTCTGAACACCCCTCCGTACATAGTGAGTGAGTGAGTTAAAATTTAACGTCGCATTGGCATTATTTCAGCCATATAGAGGATGAATACGCTTGAGTACAATAGAGGCTGGATACACTTGAGTACGATAGAAAAGCGGATTCACTTCAGTACCAAAGAGACTAGATACACTTCAGTACAATAGAGACTGGATACACTTCAGTACAATAGAGACTGGATACACTTCAGTACAATAGAGGCTGGATACACTTGAGTACGATAGAAAAGCGGATTCACTTCAGTACCAAAGAGACTAGATACACTTCAGTACAATAGAGACTGGATACACTTCA